GCAGCAAAAAATAGTGTTACGTCCGTGTTCCAAAACGCCGAGGTACATGGCTGTTATTTGTATTATGGTCAGTGTTTTTGGAGGAAGGTCCAGGCAGATGCAGATAGCAGATGCCCACAGGTTCGTCAAGATTCGAGAGTTGTCGCTTTGCCGCTTGTTCAGACCGATTTCGCTGAAAACGTTTGGTTCGAATCCCCGCGCCAACACACATATACTCTGTCAAAAGGTTTGCTGACTATGTAAGTGGGCAGTGGGTGGAGGGTCAGTTGTCGAGAAGGCGTGGAACCATTACGAGACTGTACATGTGGGTCCATGCACCACAAACCACGTTGAAGGGTGGCTTGACATGCATGAATATATTGTTTTGTTTGTTTTGATTTTGAAATAAAATCTTGTGCATATATCTCACTTTAAGTCTTTATTAACTAAGTCTTTATATAGTCATGCGAGGGTCACAATTCTGCCTTACCGGAGACCCGAAGTCTGATATGGACTATAGCCTAATTGGCTATAAAATGTCAATTTACCGCATCGTTACACACGATTGATTTTGAGATTCCGTAAACCATTTTTGAGCTGCTGAGGTTTAACCAAATTGAGATATTCATACGAAATTGTCAAAGTTTCTGTGCAACTTTACGCCATGACTGACGCTATTTAAATCAGGCAGAACGACATATGTAATTATCGGCATTTCTGGCTTCCGTTCTTACTTACAATGAAAACAATAAAAACAAATAACCATATGCAGATGGTCAGAATGTTTGTGATTACTTTCATCACATTTTCATGTACAAACGATCCCTGAATTAAGTGAAGCGACCTATCAAAATCCTGTGCACCCTTGTCATCTCAGTCGGCATTTTGTAAGAAAACTGTCATCGGTTGTGATGTCACACGTCAACATTGTTGTGCATATTTGGCAATTTCCTTGAGGTCAAGGTCGGTCGAGTAAGAGTAAACACAATCACCATATCCTAAAGATTACACTTTCAGTATTGTAATATAATATATATTCTCCGTATTGTTCCGATATTTTTTCATGAAAGTGATTTCATTTTCTACCTTGTTCAATATTATATCCTTGTTCAATATCATATACGTGGTTAAAGGCCATATATTTTTTATTCTTTGAAAGTTTTTGTTTGTTTGAGTAATATTTACATAAGAAATTGGCACATTTAGTGTAGTACACCATATTTTAAACCTTTGCACAAGCGTTAGAAGATGAAACGTAGGCATAACTGCAACATGTGCTTTACTTCCTATGCTGAGCAATATTCAATATTGGGACCAATATTACAGTTTCATATGAACAGGTTATTGACAGCAATTTAATTGAACCTTGTAAGTGAAACTGACAATATTTAATTAAAATTATTTTTAAAAGGAATTGTCTTGTTCATTGAATTTGTTTATTTCGTTATATTGACAAAACAGTTATGTATAATGACTCGCCAGGTGCGCGTTTGTCACGATTCACTATCATTTTTTTCGATGATATAATCAATTCATATTCGAAAACAAAAATATTGTAATGACAGAAAAAAATATAAACAATGTCATGTCTTACTTTGTAGGACAAACCTTTCATCATTATTCTGAGAGTTCCATACAAAAAGAGCTATCTGTCTGCATCTTTCATTGTATACTTATGAAGAGAAATAGCCACATAATCATAAACAAAGAAAAGTCTTATCCTAAAAATATATTCGTATTCTTTGAAGGTATTCATTTTCATTTGCGTTAAATTGATGTCAAACAGGTGTGTACATGTATTAAGTTACAATCAAACCATCTAACTGTTTATATACTCTGGCCCCGATTTCTCGAAACAAACTTAAGTCTGAGTTTTGACTTAAGTTCGAGTTTTTACTCAAATAGAGAAAATGCATTTAGCACAATGAACTGAAATTGATATTAAACTCAAACATACTAGACAATTTGAGTTTGGTGGATGGATTACGTAAGTTGTTTGGGCTTTTTTTATTTAAAAAATGCAGTTGAGTTAAAAGTTCAGCTGTTTCAAATTGTCAAACTCAGTTTGAAATTTGAGTAAAAACTTAAGTTTGTTTCGAGAAATCGGGACCAGGACATTATTATATTTAAGTGGTAAAATCAGCCATTTTATGTTCTGTCGAAAGAACTTTAAATTCTGACAGGGAAACCGAGACATTTTATACAATTAATGGAAATTAGGTGAGGTATACACTAATCAACATACCAATGTCGTCTTTTTCCGACGTCGCAAAATTCATAAAACGAGCCGTGACGTCAACTAAAATGTTGTAACAATTTCAGAACTAAGTTACATGTTGGATGGGGCCATCCAATTCGCTATTACGTGCTTTCTAATTTAATGTCATCATTTCATATAAATTGTGATATAACCAAAACGTATCCGGTTGCAGTGTGGATCCTTGAATTGGAATAATTTGGTTCACCTTAAAACATCTCTAAAATATAGTGCCCGTATCCACAGCAAGTACTCTCCAAGTAATCTGGGTTACAATGACCTAGTGTTAAGCATAGCGGAGTTATGACCCCCTATCTTTATACTTGTATGGCCACACTCCGGCACAGCGATGACTTAACGTAACATCACTGCCACAGGCTAGTTTGCATATCACGTGACCGGACTTTTCTCTTGTTTGTAATCAAACGCGCATATTCATAATAAGAAGAGACTGGACTCACGAAAGCTTTTCGGCGCTCTCTTCATAACGTTTTACATTGTTACATATATATTCTTCCACAACTGCGACAGTTAGGTCTATAACAGTACATATTTAGATACCAAACTGGCTGCATCGTTTGCTCTCCGTCGGCTTCGATGACTGCACGTGGAGCCGTACAACCTATGCAAACAATATTTTGGATATTTTCTCAATGAAACTAAACCTTTCTATTAAAGATGTTTAGTTAGATGTGTAGACTCGTCAAAAATAAAAGAGTAAAAGAAATCTGTACATTATATTGAATGGACATTGCAAGATGTGACGAATCGTCACATTTTTCTGGCCTGTGGCAGAGGTACTATGCTGGCTTGCCGCATGGAACTCTGGGTAGGAGAGTGTTGTATGGCCTCTCTGTAGTCGTTTGACGTCACTGAGGAAAATCCATTTTCGACATTTATTGTGTAACGTTATACATGAGCAGTCAACCCCATTTCATATATACTTATGTCGTTCAGATATCGGGCAGTATTTTGTTCTCTCACACATTTCGTAAAGATGCCAACTTTTAGGAAAATCATCACACAGTGCTTTTAACGGTGCATGATAAAAAGCGGAGACATTTACTGTTTTTTAACGCGTAACCGCTGAAGTATATGTACATGAGTTTACACCATCGGACAGTTAATCTAATATTTAATATTCTATATTTCTGTGTAGTTTTATTGTTGTAAGAGAACGAAATTCTCGCGCAACGTTCACTTTTCATATCTTACAAAAATGTGCGTCAGAAAACAAAACCTCGGCATCCATGGGGATGATGAGATGGTTGCTCCTCAGAATGTGCTGACATGTGGAGGTGTTGATATGATGACCGGAGGGAAGGACAGACAGAATTGTCTCCCTTCAACAACTTTGTCAAACTGAGGACAGTTGCTTCGGTACGGATAAGAATGTACAGATTGTACACTTAATTATCAATACTAATATACCGAACGTTGTGTTGTACCCTAAATTATCAACAAAACACACAAATGAAACATTGGTTGAGTAGCGTAAGGGGGAAATGCATCATTGTAGCGAACATTCCGCTACAAAAGATTGTATTAATTTCCAAAATTCGATTTGGCGACATCTGAAAAACCACCTCAAACCAGTAATGACCTAAGTATACGGAACTACTTCTACATATAGTTTCATGTTTCACTACAGACAAGAACAGCTTCAAAGAGTAGTCTGTTGGTAAGAAAATATTTCCAAGATACAATGTTTAATGTGAATTTAACTTTAAAATTGGATTTGACTAAAATATTAAAGATGTCATCAGACTGGTAACACGCGTTGAAACACTGCAAACTTGAGGCCCAAGACACAACTATAATACCCAACCGCCCCATTTGTATCGCTAGGAAGCTATATGCCATTACGGCATCGACAGTGAGGAGTATAACAACATACATGTATATCTTCACACATTAAGAGACCGTATACTAAGCCATTCGTAGCTTCCACGACTGTAAGTGGAATTGTAACCATATATTATAGAAATAGGGTTTTTTTCAAATTTCAGGACACTGTCTCAATTAACTATATCATGACATGTGCTAATGTAAAGTTGCAGTTGAAGACATTTGTATTTTGTTGATTACGCTGAATAAAGTATTGCGAACCTTTTCTCTCTCTCACACACTCTCTCTCTCTCTCTCTCTCTCTCTCTCTCTCTCTCTCTCTCTCTCTCTCAACCTAAGTGTTCTAGTTCTGAACACTATGAGAACACTCTTCCTGTAATAGATTTAGAATGCAATCGTAGTGTTCTGCTCATTTAGACACTATGTGTTCTGCCGTCAGAACACTAGTGTTCCGCTTACAGAACGCTCGTGTTCTACATTTCAGAACACTCTTTGTGTGTTCTGTATGTGTTCAATTCAGAACAGCCCCGGGCGCCTCGGACGCTGTAACAGATATAGAACGCCCTTTGAGTGTTCTGAGACTCATTTCAGAACATTAGTGTTCTCAAACTTCCACCAGCCTAACCTGAACGAATAAAAACAAAACTTTATTCACACCTATATTGAATAATAAATGCAGTTCCAGACTTTAAAACCGGAATAGTCTCTTCCATAAACGCCAGTTAAATCAAAATCATGCAATACGTTTTTAATGAATATAACAGAGTTACACAAATATGCATGTTGTGTATGGATGTAGAAAGAAACCTATTGTCTATGACGTCATGAAAGCCATAACATTGCCAAAAACGTCACATGGCCCTGTCTATGACGTCACAATCATACCTTAGTGACACGCATTCCTGGAGACAAAGCGCTTGCCTCGAGTCACAGAAATACGTCTCTCTATTTTTGAAGTTCGGAAACATATCACCCGTGAGTTAAACATGGCTCCGGACTTGGTGAAAGTCGTATTCAAGCTGTACCATCTACCAGACTATGTTGAAAGATGTCTTAAAGACGAAGAAGGCAGAAGAAACACTGTCAATGTTGCCCTCCTCGGCTCCATCCGTGAGCTCGGCCGGTGGAAACTTGAGAAACAGCTGATTGCCAAAGCCTCCTCTTCTGAAAGTGATGTGTGGGAGGTCAGTGCTGAACTTCCGGTGTCCTCGTCCTTTGAATGGTCGTGGCTGGTGGCTGATGACAAGAAAGTCCTCTTCTGGGATCCCGCACAGGACAGAAGGTAATGGAAATTAATTTTTCGGGTCCGTCTTTGACCCCCACCTCCTTTAGTGGGCGTTAGTAGTTCTCTGCGAAATTAAGGAGAAGATGACTAACTGCTTTCACTCTAACACATTTCGGAACGCTACTTCTGGAATTCTCGTGGAATTGCAACAAACATGATATATGTTTGATTTGGGATAAGTTTAACTGATTGAAACGATCTGCATTTTCAGAGCACGACTGTCCTACCACGAAGGGGTGATGCATGCATCCTGGGGACGGGACCCCAACTATTTTGTCTCCCAGACCTGCGCCCTGAAACTGGAGACCCACTACTATTGTGATACATGGGAAGCTCTCGCTGTTGTCGGCTCGGAGCCATGTCTAGGATCCTGGAAGTCCAAGAAAGCATTGATGGCTCACGAGTACCCGGAGAAATCTGGTCACTGGCGGGTAGGTTGATTTATACGTCATTCATAACGTAATTTATTTTAAAATCTGAAGCACTTGGATATACAATAACTACAAATCGTTTTCATAGATCAGATACATCACAGTTTTAGTTAGAATTCATTAATGATGTTTCTGTTATAATGCGTTGTATATTCTACTTCAGGCAAATACTCTACTGGACGTCCACCGTGACTACCAGTGGAAGTGGGCTGTCGTCGACGTGAAGACGAGGAAGGTGAAGAGATGGGAGGAGTGTGCCAATAGATTCATTTCCACCAACTGCGAGCAGCTCTCCATCCGGGCAACCTGGAACACGTCATCGTCCACCTTGTCCCACTCCACCATCATCCAGGAGCAGACGATCGACATGGCCAAGGTGGCCAAGTTCTATGATGCCGTGGAGAACTGTGATGGACTTTTAACCGCGGAGATGAGTCACGTGACGACTGGGTGGCAGTCACGACAGGAGACGAAGAAGAAACCATTTGTCAGTAAGTAGAGATATATTGTTTTCACCATCTGCCGTTTTAAACAAGGGACACATGGGTGTCCAGTATTCCAGGAAATCGATGTAGTGCAGAGTATATACCCTTAATGATATTAATATACTTGCTGCAAGCTCTGCATGCCGATTGCGTAGATCGATGCTATGATATTAGTCACTGGATTATATGGTCATTTCGTATAAACACTGCCATCATAGAGCTGGAATGGGCCTATTGTTCACTGCGGACCCAATCAACAAACCACTTTTCTACATTTATTCAGAAGTGTGTTACCTGGGTTAGTGAGTGCATACTGGTGACGCCAACTTTCCGAGCAGAAACTTAATTAAAACCGAGGGTCATAAAGGGATATTTTTGTCTAAATAGCGGTAATGACACATCGGTACTCCTAAAATTCTCAAACAACAACATGTTAAAGTTGCTAATTCTGGGCGTTGTGTTTTTGAGTACTGTTTTTGTGTAAAAGATCGATTTGTCTACATAGCGGGCCTACTTAATGGACTCCTCCGTGTCTATATTGTCCATTCAGATCGTATATTGTTCCTGCACTGTTTCACAAACTTCATCTCTTATATTTTCAGTAACAGAAACTGAGAAAATGGCAGCCTTGAAGCCAAAGAAACAGCGTGAACAGAAGCCAAGAACTCACAGGTCATTTATTAGGAAGATTCCTGGACTTGTGTGTCACGTGACCAACTTCCTGAATGACTGTTACTACTGGTTGGAGTAGATGTGGCGTTGTCATGGATACTGAACTGTAGAAAAAGCCTATTTTCTCAAAAGAGTTTGTAAATACGTTCACTGGATCATCTTGTAAATATAATCAAATTCATTCTAATCGTTTGTTATAGAAAACGAAATTAGAACTCTTGTTATATATGTTTACTGTACAGCTGGTAATTTAAATGAAAACAGCCTTTTATTTGTACATCTGTCAAACCGAATTAAAACTCATTCGCAACACACGTATGGTGTTTTCCTTCCGAAAGGCGGTGGGGTAGCTTTGTGAAAACCGAAGAACCAGGTTCGATCCCCTGTGGCTACAATGTGTGAAGCCCATATCTGGTATCACCCGCCTTGGTCGCTGGAATATTGTTACAAGCGGCGTAAAGCAATACTCATTCACTCTTTCTATGGCATTAACCATATGATGATGTCTCTGAAAGACTGCGCTGAAGATGGACGTAGCCAGTCGTTCCTCCGAGATCAGTGTATGAAATAAGGCCCGTCCGACCGCCCGAGACGGTCTAGATTTCTGACGGACGGTCTACAGCTAGCCAGCCCGATGGTCTGGTAACTTTTTAGATGTTCCATGCATCTGTGTAAATTCACCATATTTGGTCTGGTTAAATCCATTTTGGGATGGTAACATTTTGAAGTTACCAGCCCTGATGTTTGGCTGGAATTTTGGCTTATTTCATACACTGCCGGGATGCACTAAAACGCAGGCCCCAGGTTGCAGACTCTTGAGTGCAAGCTGTTTTCCTGGTCTAAGTTCACTTAACATGTGTAAGTGTGTTTCCTTCTTTCCTGGTGGTGTCCAGCACATGCATTACACTCATAACTGGCTCTGGAGGTTCATGTGGAAACAGATACAAACTACACACTACTGCTTTACCGGCACGTATACACAGCATCTGGATATATTTCATGTAAAAAATCAGCTAAGGTGTAAAATATAATTCACTTCGGCATTTTACAAAGTGGCTTTATATGTTTCAGTCATTTCGCAGATTGTCTGAAATAAAAGTCACTATACTTGACGGGTTGACTTAACCTCATAAAGAAAATTAGGCGTGTTTGTGAATTGCCAAAGTGAACATTTCAGTCATTTTGTACATTCACTGTAACAGATTTACAAAAGTGAGTGAGTTTAGTTTTACGCCGCTTTTAGCAATATTCCAGCTATATCACAGCAGGAAACACGAGAAATGGGCTTCACATATTGTACCCATGTGGGAATCGAACCCGAGTCTTCGGCATGATGAACGAACGCTTTAACCACTACGCTACCCCACCGCCCCGATTTACAAGAGAATTTAACCCTTTTACCATTTATAGTAACAGTCACGCCTGAAGTTATCAGCAAATTCAAGACGTGCACATACTGGAGACACACCACAATGAAACAAAACCGTCATATTTATATACACATCTGCTGTCTGTGGTAGACTGACGAGACAGATTAGGGATATTCTCAGGGTGAAATAAGGCGATCTGCCATATCAGGATTTTATGTGTGCTTCTATACTTGTTGTCGCAAGAATGATTTCCCTTTACGAAGACAATGTCGCAAAGCATCCCTTGAAGTGTAGTTCTGTCTAATAGAAAGACATCCATATGTGGCTATTAGAATCATTTTTTCAAAGGATAGCATAGAATAAAAGGTACTACTGACAGATGAAATACATAATGTCAATGTCGCAACAACAACAACCGTGAACCGGAAACAGATTTGCTGGTGATAGTGCACCGACCACGACGATAAATACCCTTTGAGAAGATGTATCACATTTTCCCAGTAAATTGCAGCACGTTTGAGTAACATGCATTGCTAAGGGTAGAATAGAGCCAGGTGTTTCGTGGGCATTCAGAAGAGGCCAACAAATAAACGGATACAGTCGCTGGAAGTGAAATCCCACGAGAAACCGATCATAATGATGTCACTCAAAATGAAATGCCATAGCAGACGACGCATCTGAAAAGAAGACTGCGTTCACTTTGTTGTGACTCAGACTCGCGTATTACGTCACTGTTGGGTATATCAAGAAAGAAGCATTATTGATCAGAGGTTTGCTATAAGCAATGCAGTTCCCTAGCCACAACGAATAAACAGGTTGCACTAGTTTGAAGATTCCACAAGCCCACCTGTTTACAAATTCTCTCTATCAATAATTTTCAATAAAGCCTAGAGGAACATGGCAGCCATGAACTGGCATTGGCACCAGTTGTGTGGTCGGAATGGCAACTTCACTGCATGGAACCATGATGATTTCAGTCACTGCTTTGAGCTGATTGTGTTTGTGTGCCCCATGCATGTTCTTCTTGCACTTGTTAGTGCATATTACTTTGCTCAAAGTCAGAAACGTTTCGGAGGGAGTGAGCTCCAGGTGTCGTGGACATGGTTCTTGAAATTTCGTTTCCTAGTGACGAATTTATTGATTTTATGTCCACTGTTACAGATTATTTTCACGGTTACTCTACTTAAGTTAAAGACCAGCCTAGCAGATTGTGTGACTATTGGTGTTGTTGTATTCGCCTGGAGCTTACACACTGTATACATGTGGTGTATTCGGTATCTTCATACCATAACAATGCGGGGTCCACTGGCAGTATTTATTACTTTCCTTATGACAATGGTATCCCTAGGTATTCATTTGAGATCTGTGATCATTCAACATATTGAGAAAAATTCAAATCACAACCCTGCTGAAGAATATGCCACTTACGTCACTCTTGGATTACAATTAATGTATCTTGTAACTTTAATCCCAAACAGACGAAGAATTTATAGGACCGATATGTTTACAAGAAATATCAACTATGATTCACCGGAAACAGAAGTCTTGTCTTGGGATAATATAAGGTCATATGGTGGAGTTGACCAACCTGGTAATCTGGAAATACTTCAAGCAGAGAAAGGCGTCAACTGTTTTTCTTGGATTTCGTTTCACTGGGTACAGCCTATGATGTCTCGTGGTGCTAAACATATGATACAAAGTGTTAATGATATATTTGTTTTACCTAGCAGATTAGGTACAGAAAAAATACAGTATGAATTTAGTCAAGTTATTTCTCAGAGGAAACAGAACATGCAGTTGCATTCATCAGAAAACCAAGAACACTTGACAAACTCTTTGCAAAACCAGCACTTAATTAACTCATCTATAGACTCTCATGGTGATCTGAATAACATTGAAAGCAATAGCAGCAACTCGTACGTTAGTTATAGATCTGGGCGACATAAGGATGGTAGTTCAAAGTCTAAAAGTGACAGCCTCTTTCGTGCATTGAACTCTGCATTTGGTGTGGAATATTATCTCTTGGGGATTCTAAAATTACTAGCAGATGGTTTGGGGTTTGCTGGTCCCATTCTTTTAAATCTGTTAGTGTCCTATATTGAAAATAAAAAGGAACCCGCGTATCATGGCTATATTTATGCTGCAGGCCTCATGATATCTACATTCCTGGGAACAGTGTGTTCCACCCAGTTTGACTACAACTCTCAGGCTGTAGCCTACAAGATCAGATGTGCTGTTATAACCACAGTTTACAAGAAAGCTTTGACTATCAGTAGTGTCACAATGTCCAAGTTCAACACTGGCCAGATCGTCAACTTTATGAGTACTGACACAGATCGTATTGTCAATTTCTGTCCAAGCTTTCATGCGTTCTGGAGTTTACCATTCCAGATTGGCGTCTCATTATATCTTCTTCATCAGCAAGTGGGACTCGCCTTCTTAGCTGGTCTTGCCTTTGCCATTATACTCATTCCTATTAACAGAAAACTGGCCATCAAGATTGGTGAACTCAGTAACACGATGATGGAACAGAAGGATGCCAGGGTTAAGGTGAGGTGGATGATAGTTGTGAGCATTTTGTTCTTACAGAGATAATGGTTACGTTATGCTCATTCTCAAAATAAGGTTTTCCTATGTTTTAAGGATATTGTCAAATCTGTCAGAATTTTATCCATACATATCAGTGAATTTCCTTCTGTGTTGTGTGTCAAGACAGTTCCGGGACAAACAACACTAAAGCTTCTGATCATTGTGACTGCATGTTTCTGGGAAATGTATCATAGTTATGCATGATCATGATGTTATTAGAGCTGCAACAAAGCCACTATGAGGTGAATATGATACATATCACAAATATTGGATGACAAATGTGATAAGTTAGCAGTTGGTGTATTATGCAATACATCAGTAAATAATAACATGTTGACTATGTTGACGTTGTTAATGTATCATGACAATGACAAGAGACCACATTTCTGTCAAATTGGATATATAAGAGTGTTAGCTATTATCCTGCCTGTCTTGGATATATTTCATTTTGCATATCTCATTGTGATAAATGACACCCAAACTTAAGTAAGTAAAGACTCCATTTGAAAATTCACAAATGTTCAATTTTAGTGATCACGAATAATTAGGACTGCAGGTATTACCGGTATACCGGTATGTTGCAATACGCTTTTCAAACGATACGTATTGCACTATTTTTCTAAGAACTGGTATATTGGGTAAAGAACATATATGAAGTTTTTTATTCTCTTTATGGTTTTAATTAAAATCTACAGATACTTTCATTCATTGAAAATGTTTTCCTTTGTTATTCAATGACAAAATGGCATACTGTAATGCTATAAAGTGTACATAAAGGAAAATAGAATCCATGGCTGTGCAACCTAATTCTGAGATTGCTGTTATCAGAACCGTAACATATATGTTTAGGGACTTATCATATAGAAAATAGGATTGACATGCACAATTATTGTCACTCACTGTCATACACGTAAGTTCCCAATATATCGCAATATGTGTACCTGAATCGCAATATATTGCAATACAATTTATTTGCCAATACATAGCCCTGCGAATTATGAACAGAATTTATGAAGAGATAAGGTCAAGTCACTGAGTATGCAAGTGAATCATTAAAAGCCATAGTGGTTATCATCATCATCATCTACCATGACATGTCATCCTCCCATATCACCCACACACACTCTTTACATATATATGTCATGTTTAACATGTGTAAACTTGATCTAATGTTGATGATTTTCAGCTGATGAATGAAATACTGTATGGCATCAGGGTTGTAAAGTTCTATTCCTGGGAAGACCATTTTTTGAAGAGAATCCAAACTATAAGAGATGCTGAGCTAAAGAGTCTGAAAGGCCGGAAGTATCTGGATGCATTCTGTGTGTATTTTTGGGCCACAACACCTGTGCTGATCTCCATTCTCACATTTTCAACATACTCGCTCATGGGGAATAAACTTACTGCAGCAAAAGTAAGAACCTTTGAACGTGTTTAATATCTTTCATTGTACACTTAGTATTGTTGTTGATCGATGCTCATACTGTACCATGTTGATCGCTGGATTGTCTGGTCCAGACTCGATTATTTACAGACCGCCACCATATAGCTGGAATATTGATGAGTGCGGCGTAAAACTAAACTAATTTTTAACATTAGTGTTATGAGAAGGACCCTTTGACTTTCTTTCATGTTATATTTCAAAGATGAAGTTTGTCTCAATTCAGCCAATACATGAATAACTTTAACCCTACATTTTGCATTATATTTCACACCCTGATGAGTGAGTGAGTTTGGTTTTTCGCCGCTTTTAGCAATATTCCAGCAAGATCACAGCGGGAGACACCAGAAATGGGCTTCACATATTGTACCCATGTGGGGAATCGAACCCCGGGTCTTTTTGGCATGACGAGCCAACGCTTTAACCACTAGACTACCCCACTGCCCCACACCCTGATGAAGTATGACGTAACCTGATTAGTGTTATCCTCACCATGCTCATGATTCTGTTCATATATGTTCCCACAGGTATTCACAAGCCTGTCTCTGTTCCTGATGTTGATTGGTCCTCTCAATGCCTTCCCCTGGGTGGTGAATGGACTCATGGAAGCATGGGTCTCTATGAAGCGAGTGCAAGCATTCTTCAAGTTAGAGGAACTAGACATGGACAAATACTACTCACATTCCTCAGGTAAATATAAATCCAATTCCAGGGGAATATATCTTATATTTTCTGTCAATATTAGCTCATGGATTTGTGGACTATTTCTTAATCCTTTCAAGTCCAGATTTATGGGATTTTGGTATAATTTCAATATAAATGACATTCATAAAACGTTACATACTGTTTTAGTTTTGACTATTGGCTGAAGTCTTCGATATCATTATCACCTATTATGTGCCAATATTTGACAAGGAATATGCAACAACTATACTACCCATCAAAAGTTTAGACTTACTTAAACCACTCACTATATGTTATGTATATATGTATGGTTACATCAAAGATGGATTTCTCCACTAACTTCGGGGAACCACCTGAAAACCTTATGCAGATGAATTGCACGAGGATCATGCATCAAATTGCTGTAAAGCATGTGCAAATATCATGCATGTGAACAGCTGCGTTTTGGTGTAAAGTGTTGTTACGAATTCGTCAATTTTCACTGAGTTTCATCATTTATTGAACTCATGACAATAATCTTTTCAACGTTACACATGTGTTTTACAATACATCAGTTCATGTGTAAACAGTACCTTTAAACAGTATGGAAAGTTTTGCAAACTTTATTTTAGAACAGTTGACTTAAGTAAATGGCTACATTTACACTAGTGAGTGTCTAAACTTTTGATGGGGAGTATATATAATACTTCAGAAGGATATATAGCTAGAGAACACATACATAAGATAATAAGTATTCATGATTGAGGGGTGATACTTGACAAATGTGTCAATATGTATCATTAGTACATTGGGAACCCATTGACAGCCCTGCACAGTCCCCTAATGGAAGTCAACAATGGTAGCTTCTCCTGGCAAAACGTTTCCGAAACCCAGTCCTCAGACCAGTCCCCAGACCAGTCCCCAGAGCGGTCTTCTTCCTCTGTGACAGCCAATACACTCAAACTCAGGGACATCAATCTCTACATTGATAAGGTAACAGCAGTTTATGAAAAGAAGAACTTACTTTTATTCTCATAAGATTCATTATCTTTCTTAAGCTGATTTACCCATGAAGATTCGGGTTAGAATTGGTATTCAGCAACACATGCTTGTCGTAAAAGGCAACTAACGGAATCGGGTGATCTGGCTTGCTGACATGGTTGACACATGTTATCATATCCTAATTGCATAGATCGATGCTCATGCTGTTGATCACTGGATCATCTGGTCCAGAATTTGTTGTATTCTGAGAACCAAATATGTTTCTCAATTAGCAAATGACATCAGATGAATACGGGAATTTCCCAACTGATTATTTCAAGGCAACTCAAGACCAGTTAGGAATATTGACTGTAAGTGACGATCTAGTCACCAGATCTTTGTCATACCTTAAAAGCAGATAAAACTATTGTTTCATTTGTATGATATGAGTGATTCTATATTTCAGGGTCAGTTTATTGGAGTTATTGGGAAAGTTGGATCAGGTAAAAGCAGCCTCTTCAGCGCATTGATGGCTGAGATGAAGAAAGATGGTGGATCAGTGACTGTGGAGAACTTGTCAGACGGATTCGCTCTGGTGGCACAGGAACCATGGATCCAGCATGCAACAGTGAAAGAAAATATCCTGTTTGGGAAAAAATATGAAGTCAGACGCTATGACAATGTATTGGATGCATGTGCTCTCGTCGATGATTTGAAGGTAAGTTAGGCATGTGTTTTCAATTGTGTGCTATCCTTTTGTAAATTTTGTGCATGGAATACGTGGATTTATTTTTTAACTTCACTAAATGTAGATGAATATGACATATTTGAAATGGAATCATTGCAAGTAACAATTTGGAAATCTGCTGTTGGAGGTATGTGAAATTAAATCTTCACACTTGATTAGTGTCATACATGTATTATCTTTCTCAGAATCCATCATGATTTTAATAATTTAGTTGACTACTAATTTTATGGTTAAACTACTGATTTTGATCCTTGAAACTACTATATGCAATACTTTATGATTGGCGTCTCTGAAACTGGCCAATTTGAAAGCACTTAAAATTTAATGGTAAATTTATAGTTTTGTCATTGAATCAATATTCAGGTTGGCCAGTCTGGAATGTTGTTCTACTTCAACATCTGATGAAATTGACACATTTGTTAGTAACAGGATTTGTAGCCAGTGATAAGTCCAAACATTCCAACTACCTCCATGGCATAGTGGATAGAGCATCTGCACAGGGAGTGGAACGCTGGTGGTCATGTCCCCAGCCCCATCATATCAAAAGACTTGTTGATACTTGTTGTTTCTCTGCCTGGTGCTCGGCAGTCTAAGTAAACTTAGCCTCAGTATTATTCGTTACACTGCTATACTGAGTCTTAACAAACCCTAGTAGAAGGTCGCGTCAGCTAACCTTTGAGCGACCTATGAACCTCCAATCAAATGCAAGACGGATTTAACCAATCAGACAATGACTACAATTTAGGGTTCAGCGGGACTTACCAAACGGTTTTTGGATTTTCTCTTCCCTTGCGCTGACACTGATCGAAAATCTGCATAAAGCACAGATATTTGACCTGCAGTATATAAGCTTAGGGGTTTCTAATGACATGGTTACTATTAGCTTATATTTCCGCAAGATGACATCCTTGAATATTGACAAAAACGCTATTTTCAGCGACTGTTTACTCATTGCGTCATCCATGTGTATCACTCGGAAGCGATTGTGGGGAAATAGCATTCGGAATCGTTCGAGTTTTTTAGGTAAAGGCTCAAACGATATGTGCGAATGTTAACTTTCGTGATTTGGTAAGCTGTGTTCTGATTGGTCAGTCCAAAAGGACGCGACCTTCTGCTAGGGTTTGTTAGACTTAGTATAGCAGTGTAACGAATAATACTGATCCTAACTTTACTTTGAGGCATTAAATCAAACACTGTTTGACTTGGCTCAGTGCATCTCATGGAGTTTTTTCTTTGTTAAACTGCAGTGAAAGTCTCAGTGGACATCCCACCCTTTATTCAGAAACAACATAATGCTAAAAGTTTCACCTTTTTACATACAACACAGTACCAACAATAGAAGTCATAGACAAATGCTATTAATTTATTTCACAGTGTTTTCCAGTCCTTTGTTTACTCACATTGAAACCATAACATATGTACAGTACTACATGTAGTTTCCATGCATGTTGCAAATTTTCATGATATTCATGATGACAAAAGTCCTTTCAAACCACTAAAAGACTGACTCCTAAAATTGCCGAAGGGCACATCAGCAGTTTGATAACTTTCTTCAAACAAACTTTATTTACTTTATAATTTCCCAGCATCCAGACTCAGTATGTACATTGTTATTTTCACAATGGAATTTACTTCAGCATTTCTTAAATAACACCTACAACATGTAGCTATATAACTGTAATACACATGAACGGGGCATGCAAACCAATTTATGTTACATTCAAAACACTCTCAGGTTTTCGGCTCTCCAGATTTCTAGCAATACTGTCTATTCCATTAAATACATGCTGTGTTGTAGATGTTACCTGCAGGGGACCACACCGAGATTGGGGAGAATGGCGTCACCCTCAGTGGGGGTCAGAAGGCCAGGATCGCCCTAGCCAGAGCTGTCTATCAGGTAAACACAGTACTTAACATGCAGGTTATAGCAAAATGTTCAAGAATGCAAACAACACCCCATGCACTATAATAATGGCTAAGTTATTACAACAAAGTATTTATACTCATGGAAACGAATAAGGGAACACATGAAAGTACAAGTGTTCCTATATTCTTTTTCAGGTTTCTTCACAAAGTCTGTACTGCAATGTGAGTGAAATTCTGGAAATATATAAAGGAACACTTGTATTTTCATGTGTTCCCTTATTTGTTTCTATGAGTATATTAACTTGTATTTTTAGTGTGATTCACACCTACGATTTGAGGAGTCATTTTTTCAAAGATTTGCTTCAGCTGAAGTCTTTGCTAAATGAATGGGAGAGAAAAACAGCAAAAATATCAATGTTACTATGAACTGTAATTATTTTCAGCGACTCAGTTTTGTAATTATGTTTTTTTATAATACTTATAATCCAGGAGGATATAAAACAACTAATGAAATTGGCCTGAGTAACCGTGTATGTTTTATGATATGACATTGTATGCATTAAGACATAATAAACATTTCATTTGTAATCTCTGGATCAACAAGCTGGCCTACATTTTTGTGGTCTGATATTTTCTGCAGAAGCCATAAACGAAAGTCCTGATTTATTGAATGATTTTTGACAACTGAAAAGTCATGACAGACATGTTATCAGAGATTCCAAGCATAGTAAGATAAAAAGACCCAAATAGGTTTTAGTCCACTTTTTTTGTGCTTTGTATACTTTGATTACAATTATTGATCATGAGATTTTACTATCTTGTTATTTCCATGCTGTATAACTGTGTTCTCCCCAGGATAAAGACGTGTACTTCCTTGATGACCCGTTGGCAGCTGTGGATGCTCACGTCGCCAAGCACCTGTATCAGAAGTGCATCATGGGACTGTTGAAGCAAAAGACCAGGATTCTCTCGACTCATCACACACACTTCCTGTCCAAGGCTGACAAAGTCATTGTTATGGATAATGGCTGCATTTCACAAACTGGTGAGAGAATATAGTCTTCAGTCATTGTGTGACAAAACATGTATGTGTGGATCAAGATTTTCAATTGTTTCTGTTGATTATACTGATTACTTATTTACCGTGTTTACTTACAGTGTAAACCTGTAGGAAGCAGGTTGGAATAGTCCCCATCATGCTCTTGTTTGTCATTGGAGGTAAATGTTCTATAAGTGGTCATGCTCTGTGACAAAATCAGATGTGATTTGGTCTGTCTGAGGTTTGTCGGGCACAAACTCTGTTTGACAACAGTATAAGGAGCTAGACTGAAAGGTGGAATCGACATGCTCTTGCTTGTCATTTGAGTTGAATGTTGTTCAGGTGGTCACTCTCTGTGACAAAATTAGATGTTTATTCTGTGTGTCTGTGATTTGTTTGGCTTAAAGTCCGGTTCACAACAGTATAAGTATCTATACCCATTCGTCTCATCACAACAGAATAAAGAGATTGACATCCATAAAGTATCTACCCTTTATTAATACAGACCAACTTCTAAAATGCCTCTCAAACAGACACGCATGCATGTCGTCATATGAGCGAAATATTCTCAAGCACGACGTAAAACCCAATTTCACCTCACCTCACCTCACCTCTCAAACAGTACAAGCTGTTATTTACTGGACACCTTAATACAGTGGAAATTTTTTGAATATATTTCAACTAGCCAGTGTGGATACCATGGTAGAATGGGCCACACCTCATATTTGTTGTGAAAGCTCACACAAATGGGGATTTGGGGTTACAATTAGGACAAACGCATTTTGTGTTTTCAGATTTGTGGGTTTATTGAGTTTTTATGTCAAGAAATATCAAACCATCAGTGTCGGAAAGAGGTTTCATATGTTGAAGTTAACTTGGCTTTGAATTTTAGTTCAGGAACGTTTTTCACCAAAACAGTCTCCAGCACACACATCCATTTATTGTATGATGTGCTTTAAGGGTGGCCTAGAGTCCATTATGATTCAGTTATGCTGATTGTTGCTTACATGCAGTCAGTGGTTTGTCTGATCCAGACTTTACTGTTAACAGATCATCATGATACAGCTGTTATATATGTTAAACCATAGGGGGAAACATCTGTTAATTCACACATCAAGAGGTCATTGACCTATTACTTGGTCAGTTAATGGTTACTGACATCTGGCTGAGAACTGGAACGTTGATCAAATTTTGGTGTATGTAACACTTGTATGGAGATGAATGGTGAGGTTATATGAATATAATACACACAACTGTTGAGCATAAATGATATATGATTATAGATTCCTATGTCCGCCATCAAGCTATAACTGCTGAGCAAGTCTTATATTTCTGGACATAGGCCCTCCTGATGAAATTCTACCCTCAATCTCGGCCAACTTTGACAGTGAAACTGAAGCCCAGGCCCCAGGATCAGGATCTGAAGATGACAATCCCACAGACCCTCAAGATGGAACCTTGGTGGAGGAGGAGGAGCAAGAGAAGGGCGTGGTCAGACTGGAGGTGTACAAGACCTACTGGTTAGCTGTGGGGAAGTGTCTGTCCCCACTGGTGCTCTTGGCACTCTTTCTTATGCAAGGTGAGAAAACCTGCTTACATGGGGGTGTGATTGAAAAGCTGCAGCGTGCAAATTAGCCACAGGCCCATTAGCCCATAGCTAGTAAAAATCCAGTCGGGCCAGTAAATCTCCACAGTCACTGGCCCTACTGGCGAGTGATTTTCATGGGGTCATTTTGTAAATATATCACTCTCACTTTTGAATCATGCAAGATTATGGCCTGATGAAAATGTTCATCAAATTAGCAACTTAATGATGAAACCTATGTCATGCTGACAATATCTTAGTTTCATCTATTTTTGTAATCTTTTGCTTAGTTTCTGCATTCAAATTTCGGGCTAGTGAATTATTTTGTGGGCTTGTAACATTCAGGCATAGCTAGCCTGACTGGCTTGCAAAATTTGGAAACTATTTTGCACACTGAGCTGTGTGTAAATACCACTTAAAAGTGTTGCTAGAATGATGATGACACCTAAAATGACTTGACATTGCCTCCTAAGTGTTCCAAACTCTACCAGCCCTCCTGATACACAAAATGTTTGTAGCGCTACATCATTCGTAAGCCTCTTATAAACTAAAGAGTTACAACTGGTTGTAACGTTACGTGAATCACTTTCACGTTACTCTTCCACTTTACACACGTTTGTAGTGCCTTATTTCCAATAACGTATCACATGGCAATCTATCCTTATAGACGCTGTGACTGATGTGATAGTTAATGTCTCACATTACGCTGAATGTTCAAAACTGCCCCACAACAGCTTTGTGGATCAGGACCTTGTTTCATTAAAAAGTTGGATTTTATTAAATTGCCTTTCAGCCTCCAGAAACATCAGTGACTGGTGGTTGTCTTACTGGGTGACAAACAGTCATGCTCCCAATACCTCCATTAATGGCAATGCATCTTCTCATGTGATGTCAGCTTGGTATCCCCAGGAATATTTCTATGTGTAAGTAACATGCTTGTTAATGAAAACAATTTATGACAATACCCGTGAAGGTTCGGGTTAGAATTGGTCTTCAGCAACCCATGCTTGTCTTATGAGGCAACTTACGGGATTGTTGGTCAGGCTGTCTGACTTGGTTGACACTTGTCATGGAGTCCCAATTGCATAGATTGATGCTCATGATATTGATCACTGGATTGTCTGGTCCAGAATTGATTTTTGTACAGACAGCCACATAGCTTGTAATATTGCTGAGTGCTTAGGTTAAACAGTAAACAAACAACATGGGTTCATTTTTTTTAAAAAGCCTCTTGCCACAGGACAAGTGACTTTAAGAAAGTAACTTGTCATGACTAATTTTCCACTTGCCCTGATTTTATGACATAATCATCATGATGTAATTATGAAAGAAAAAATCAACATGGTATTTGATGTTAATGTTTACTGGACTATTTATTGAAAAGTGATAAATAGCAAAGAAAGATAACTCTACTTTATTATCATTGCAAAATTTAATACTAATAATAGCTACATTTTGAGCAGATAAGAAATTAAATCCAAGTTTATTTGCAGTTTGAAACCATAAGTGGAATTTATCTAGTAGCCCACGGACAAGTAAGATACCATTATTTGATTGCCCGAAATGAAAACTGACTTGTCCCGGGCATCAGGAACAAACAGGATTTGTGACAGATGCAATTATTTTCACAAATTTCCTCAACTTAGAATTAAATCAATAATGCATGTTTGATAGATTTAAGCTGATATCTTGATGAATAAAATAGATTCACCCCCCTTGCTTAGCAGTGAAAATTGGTACAATTTGGGCTTTTTTTCTCCACATGCAGAGCCACGCCTTTTATCTCCCCCTCTGCTCCATCTGTGACCAACAACACCATCGTGCCCTCCAGCATGACCTATGCAGAAGACAACATCACCTTCTATCTCACTGTGTACGGGTGCCTTGCTGGAGCCAACACTATCTTCACATTGTTCCGGGCATTCCTGTTTGCATATGGCGGCATCTGTGCTGCTCGTGTAGTGCACAAGAATCTCCTGTCATCTATTCTAAAGGTGAGAAGGCCAGTGCATTCAAGACACTGTGCGTCTCATACGGTTAAATCGTTTTTGACAAAAATTGTCTCAAAGTAAAGGTGTGGTCACTGTGTATTCCATCTATAATCATCTTAATTTAACCTCTGATGTGTCAAATCAGATATGTCTAAGTTACATTTGCCTAGAAGGCACAGACAAGTACCTCCAACACAAATTTACTCGATATGCCAGTTTCGCCTTGACACAGTGAGTGAGTGAGTATGGTTTTACGCCGCTTTTAGCGGCTGGGGACACCAGAAATGGGCTTCACACATTGTACCCATATGGGGAATCGAACCCGGATCTTTGGCGTGACGAGCCAACGCTTTAACCACTAGGCTACCCCACCACCCCCCTTGACACAGTGATTATCATGTGTCAGTTAAGGCTCAACAAGTTTGCAAGTTAACAAGCCAGAAATGTGCACTGTATTGAGTTCACAAGAAACAAAGAAAGCAAGGAGACGTTTGTTTCTTGTGCCTATTTTGCCAACATGTGAAACTTGTTTTAAAATACCACTGATGTAGCTACGAGATAACTCGTAGTGGCAAATTCGGCCAGAATTGATACTACGAGTATACTCATGATAGGCAGTCAACGTGTTAACATATTGCAGATTGCATTGAGTTAGTGGATAAGTGTCAAATTTTCCCTGTGCATGATGAAACCACATACTGATATTATTTGCTGTCTGTCACAGGCTCCTGTGAGTTTCTTCGATGTAACACCAATAGGGAGGATCATCAACCGATTCTCCTCGGACTTGTACAGCATCGATGACTCTCTGCCCTTCATCCTCAATATCTTCCTGGCACAGAGCTATGGCATTCTGGGTACTCTGGTCATCACATGCTATGGCCTGCCTTGGTTTGCCATCCTGCTTGTACCACTAGGGCTGCTGTACTACAAGATTCAGGTTTGTGGTCCAGGTTTTGTCTTATACAGATGTCACAGTGAGAGGTTATTTCTCAATACTGGATCAGCAGTCTGGCAGCTATTTACTGGGAGCATACATTTGGAGGATGTCATTATGATCAAGAGATCATGTGTATCCTCAAAAGTTTTCATAGGCATCTGTTACAATGTATCTTTACAATTATTCACAATGCTGGGCAAGAAATGCCATTAAGTTTTTATCACTCAGTTTTATTCGGCCATTGATGATAAATGTACAATAATACTATTGTGAAATTTGTATGCTTGGAGCTTTCTAGTTGAACTTTCATATTAAGAAATTTGAGAGGTTTCACAAACTTGATTGTTAAGTAGTTGAATCTTAAGAGGACGACATAATCAATTAACAAACACAAGCATTCTTTTGCCTTGGACATATTATAGTTTGAGTTTAAGTTGAACAGTGCTGAGGGCATAGGTATATCTTTGTACTCAACCTTCTTAGTTTTGCTGGTTGACTAAACTTGGCCATCTGGCAGTTACAAGACAACTCAGAAGCTTGGAAAAACGTCTTTGTAATGAGTGAGCTCTGGCCCCGATTTCTCGAAACAAACTTAAGTTTTTACTCAAATTTCAAACTGAGTTTGACAAGTTGAAACAGCTGAATTTTTAACTCAACTGCATTTTTAAATTTAAAAAAGGGCCAATAACTTAAGTAATCTATCCACCAAACTCAAATTGTTTACTATGTTTGAGTTTTATATCAATTTCAGTCCATTCTGGGAAATGCATTTTCCTGCGTTTTCTCAAAATTTGAGTAAAAAGTCTAACTTAAGTCAAAACTGAGACTTTAGTTTGTTTTGAGAAATCGGTGATGATGACTACATGGACCAACTAAGAGAGTAGTCAAGATGATCAGCTATAGGTATATGTTATAATGTATGACTTTCAACTCTCCTCCAGCATTTCTACCGGCACACCTCCCGGAAGTTGAAACGGATCTCCAGTGTAACCTTGTCCCCCATCTACGCTCACTTCTGGGAGAGCTTGACCGGACTGTCCACCATCAGGGCACTCAGGGCAACTGATAGGTCAGTCCGACTGTTTCCACAATCTTCGTGTGAAGTAGATATTCATATGCACCAAAACGTTTTCCTAATGTTCATCATAGAAAATATTGAAGTAATGTGACATTGTCTTTCTTAATAGATAATGAATGAGACCAGAAAAACTTACTAGAAAGATACATTGTATGTCAGTGTTGTTTCAGTTTTCATCTATGTCTAAAATGCAAGAACAGTCAGTGCTTTAAAACCTTTTTTTCTGAATAAAAGAATCTGTTTGCTTTGCTAGATTTGTTTGATTGGCATTTTAGAAGTTGATGTATAATAAGAAAGGTAAGATACTTTATTGATGGCAACTTCTTTATTATATTATGACGTGACGTTTCGGTATAAGTTCTTAAACCATTATCAAGCAAGAGTGGAGCACAGAACAGATTTATATACATCAACAGATACTAGATACTGATTAATAAACACCAACTCCATATACAGATGCCACATGTGTTATCAAGTAAATATTGTTTTAAATCATTTCTTTTCACAATTTGTGATTGTATTGTCAGTGGAATATCCTTGTATTGTTATGAAATATATATGTTTACAGATTCTGCAGAGAGAACCTGTCACGTCTTGATGTTAATCAAAAGGCACAGTATGCTACAACTGTTGCAGCAAAATGGCTGGATTTTCGACTTCAAATGCTTGGTGTTGCCATGGTTACTGGAGTTGCATTTGTAGCAGTTCTGGAGCATCATTTCCATACAGTAAACCCAGGTATTAAGGGACCGTTCATAATTTATGGCAAGGGGGTGATGATGATTTGTATGCACTGCTTGTACAATCTGAATGACCCCCCTAAAATGCATGTACAACGTAAGTGACCCCCCTGCATGTCATGTACAAAATCAATGACACACACCCCCCCTCCCATATTTTTTAAATATTTCCATGTACAAAATTGATGAAACCCAAGTACGTGTGTACAAAATTGATGACCCCCCTACCTCCCCAGAACAAAATGGGTCCCTAAGTGCTCCTTGTTTTCAACTGCTTGCAAATGTCTATGTAAGCTGAAAATTGATTGAAATAACTTCACTCATTCAAGTTGGGATTAATATGATCGTAGAGGTTTTGAAAAATATTTGAAGATGATTAAGTCTTGAACCCAAGCTGAACATATGTCCCTATAAAATGTAGTAAAATGATTCTTTGTCAAAGTCATGAGAGCAAAGTTAGATTCTCTTTTGAAGTGCGGAAAGTCTGCATTTTTCACTCATTTCACTTTAGCTTATGTACAAATATTTCATTGTGTGAGAAGTCCAAAATTTTCAAGTGTAAGTTAATTGTTTGCCATTTGGACATGTCTTGTTATTTTCATATCAACATTTCTGCAAATTTAAAAATAGCTGCCTTTTCCAATAGTCCTTAAACACCACTTAACCTACTTTGTCTTTAGTCACACATTTCCTTGTGTGTCTGTAAGAAATAATTGTTAGGTTGACAGTGTTTAATGTGTGTCATTATGTCCTCCAGGTTTGGTGGGTCTAGCCATCTCATACTCTCTGTCCATAACCAACCTGCTGGGGGGCGTGGTCATGTCCTTCACTGAGACTGAGAAACAGCTGGTCAGTGTGGAAAGAGCTGACCAGTACATCAACGATGTGCCCAGTGAGCAATGGGAAGGAGTGCTGTTTGTAAGTTGCAGCCATTGCTGCGATCATATAAATATATTCTTCTTGTGAACTGGAGTGAGTGAGTGAGTTTAGTTTTACACCGCTCTCAGCAATATTCCAGCTGTATGGCGGCGGTCTGTAAATAATTGAGTCTGGACCAGACGATCCAGTGATCGACAGCATGAGCATCGATCTGCGCAATTTGGAACCGATGACATGTCAACAAAGCCAGCGAGCCTGACCACCTGATCTCGTTAGTCGCCTCTTTCGACAAGCATGGGTTATTGAAGGTTCATTCTAACCCGGACCTTCACAGGTTCTTGTGAACTGGAACACTGCATTTGTCTGTGAAAGGAAGATTTCACCTGGATTAGCAACCCTGAGTTAAAGATAAAAGCAATTGTTGTGAGGATAAGTCAATCATGGAATTAGTATTAATCAGTCAGCCCCCTATTAATGTCATTACAATGGAAGAGCATATATCTTTGTTAGTATGGATTATTTGTTATAAATTTGTGCAGCATTAGGCATATGTTGGTGAAGTTTCCCTTACCTGAGTACCGTCATTGTTGTCACTCTTAGTGATGCATGAAACTTTCTGTTGCACTGCAGAAGTGAGTGTGCTCAGTTTTATACAGTGTTTAGCAGTATTCCCGCAATGCAACAGCGTGTGACCCAGACTGCTTTAACCGCTAGGCTACCTCAGTGCCACTGCATAAGACAGTATAAGGGTTTATAAAGATGAATATTCATAAGTTCAGCTTTAGTTGATTTGGGGAAGTCCAAATGATTGTGGTATATATAATTATCATATATTATAATTATCAGTAATTTAAGTCAGATTTAATATGTTAGGCTATACATTTTAAAAAAATTGAGATAGGAAAGCACTTTTTTTTCATCAAATGAAAACACTATTATTATCCTTTTTAGCAGAGAATAGTGTTCTTATGCTTACTTTTTCTATTTACCTTTATATGTAGCTATGTCTAAATCACTAGATGTGTTTGTTATTTCAGCCTCCATCATACTGGCCTATTCAAGGTGCTGTGAGTTTTAACCGAGTACAGATGAAGTACCGACCCAATCTGCCCAATGCCCTAGACTTAGTCACATTTGAAACAGAGCCTGCAGAGAAGATTGGCATTGTTGGAAGAACAGGTTCTGGAAAATCTAGCCTTTTTCTGGTGCTCTTCAGAATGGTGGAGATACAGTCAGGGGAGATAACTCTGGATGGCATCAATCTCCATCATCTTGATCTCAAAGATATCAGGTGAGGAATACATTCTTATTTTCATTTTGAAGCAACTGACTTGCATCAATAATCCAAATTATTACTGGGGTGGTGGGGTAGCCTAGTGGTTAAAGCATTTGCTCATCATGCCAAAGATCCGGGTTCAATTCCCTAAATGTGTGAAGTCCATTTCTGGTGTTCCCTGCTGTAATTTTGCTGGAATATTGTTAAAGATGGTGTAAAACTAAAATTCACTCACTCACCCAAATTATTACTAAGGAATTAAGTAAGTTAGGATTGATATTGTTTTTAATGAACATTTGCACCTCAGAGATTTACAGCTAGCATATTATCAAGTTGGATCCATTTTTAATGCAGTATTCAATAAGTGATAACATTAAAACAGAAAAAAGCAAAAGGTTAACGTCTTGCTCATTAAAAGCAGCTCATACATCAGGAGGCAAATTAGAATGTAGATGTGGGCATAAGATTAACTGAAACACTGCATATTCATTTAAGGTCCAGACTTGCAATCATTCCACAAGATCCATTCCTGTTCAGTGGTTCAGTTCGAGAGAACCTGGACCCTACCTCAACGTTCACAGACAATCATCTGTGGACAGCATTACGACGATGTCACCTGGACTCAGCAGTGGAGATGCTTGGTGGTTTAGATGCGGATGTTGCTGAACGAGGGCGTCACTTCTCGGTTGGTCAGAGACAGCTTCTGTGTTTGGCTAGAGCTATCCTCACTAATGCAAAGGTTAGTTACAAGGACACGCTGGATTTTAGTGTGGAGTATTCTGGGAAACCTGTGAAGACCCGGGTTAGAATTGTTCTTCAACAACCCATGCTTGTTATGAGAGACGACTAATGGGATCTAGGGCCAATTCCACAAAGGGATCATCGTTAGCGTTTTCATGTCTGAACCTGTTATATTACGACAGTCGTAAGTCTATGTTCAAGTATGGGAGTTACGATCATCTCAGCACTACGACCGTTTCATGGAATGGGGGCCGGGTGATCAGAATCACTGATTTAGTTGATGCATGTCATTGTATCCCAGCTGCACAGATGGATGCTCATATCAGTCATGTGATTGTCTGGTGTTGATTCGGTAAATAACAGACCGACATTATATAGTTGGAATTTTGCAGCATTAAACAAACAAACAAACAAACAAAATCGTATATTTGGATAATGGTGACACTTGTAGCCGAATGGTATGGTATTTGTTGCATCATCTTGTTTGAATCAACCCGTGAAGATCTGGGTTAGAATTGATGTTCAGTAACCCATGCTTGTTGAAACAGGCGACTAACGGGATCGGTTGGTCAGGCTCGCTGACTTGCATGACACATGTCATCGGTTCCCAATTGCACAGATCGATGCTTATGCTGTTGATCACTGGATTGCCTGGTCCAGACTCGATTATTTACAGACCATCGCCATAGAGCTGGAATATTGCTGAGTGCGGCGCGTAAACTAAACTCACTCGCTCACTCACTCTTGTTTGAGTCACAGATTTATCACAATTATTATACTTCATCTGTGTGCACTACACCCGTGCTTATTGGTTTCACCAAAGTGTCGTAAGATCTGCACTACTTCGGCCATGTTCTCACATCTGCCTAACATGGTGTGACATGACATAAACCTGGATATAGTTTAGCCCAGGCAATAAACTGTCCTAGGCCAAACTATACACAGTGTGTAAAACAGACTAGGCTAGACTATGCCCCTCCAGGCCAGAATATACCCTCTTGTGTAACAAGGCTTTGACTGTATTTGCACAGTATATTAAACAGGGCTCCAGATAAGGGCCGTATCAGCGTGTACGGATAAAAAATATGCATGATACGGTAGGAAATAATTTGGAAAACGTAGCAGATACACACCACAGCAATGGTGTACGGTCTTAGAATCATTTACAGACGTATTTATCGGAAAAAGTATTGTTTTATTGTTCATTGACCTGTTTACACAAGAGTAGCAATGTTGTGGTGCAAATATGAACTGCTGATACTCCATTAAATTCCATTCAGTACTCTAAATGTACTCTTAAGGTTTTTCAGTACTCATATATTGAAAAAATAAGGAGTATGTACTCCTGATGTTGAAAAATTATCTGGAGCCCTGATTAAATAACCATGACCATTTTGATGTTGTTATCAGCGTTTAACTTGGTACATTTACACATACAGTAGTAAGAATTTAGAAGCAGAAGTTTCAGGACATTACCTGTATTATATTTTACTGATGACTGCGTCAGAATTCGTCCCGTTATATTATTGTGCATGTTTGAACTTGTTCGCCGGGAAACGTGTGCACAGCTGATTGCTATTTCCGGCTTTGTGTATGAGACAAATACGCACGGTAATCTTGATCCCTGCAAATAAAACAATGCCCAGCAAAAACAACTTATAACTTAAATCATAATTAATCTTGTCTAGTGATGTTTAATTGCAAATTTGACGTCTCTACTGACAAAGTCGTCTTCTGTTGTTTGTTCACGCGAAGTGATACGATGTTGTTTTCTTACCCCTGGAAAAAAGTTTGATGAAAGTGTAACTCATGGATAAGACGACCCCCTTCTACTGACTTCTTTTTTTGGTCCTCAAAATTCGGCTTATAGACGGTCATATACGGTATACATGTTCAGAGATGCCAACCACTCCGATTTTCAAGTACAAAATCTGCTCTCCGATTTTTAGAAAAACATTCTGAATTTATTTTTATGGTATACAATTTCGTAAGTCACCGGTGATATATTTGAGTGAACACTGGTAAAAGCATTCAGAAGCTTAACGTGTGATCCTTTGGGTGTCGATTATGTATATTGCGTGTTATTGACGATGAAGTGTCATAGTCCGTATGAAAGTGAAACAAAATGGCAGAGCCGACCAGGCGCTCACCCCCAACTCGCACCTTGGTGCTCAGACCTGACATTCAGCCAGTCATGGCTCTGTTTTCCTTAGATTCAGGGTTGGCATCTCTGCATGTTATCACATTATGAACAGAAAAGTTAACTGAGAAATTGTTTTTTACAATTGTGTTTTGGGAATATATTTTATTTTAGTGTGTGAACAATACAGACAAGTGTAGTAGTGATCTTTGATCTTTTGTTTTAACTGAATGTGGTTTTCCTGGTTAAAGTAACAGAATCTGTCTAATAAACACCTTGGATGTCATGGGGGGTATAATCTTCTGACCTAGGTTGGGCTTGGGGGATGGGGTATGAAATCTACAGTATAGAATGGTCCAGGCCATAATATACCCGGTTATGATCTAGCCTAGGCAACTTTAACCCAGTTATATCTTAGCTGGGCTATACTGGGGGTAATAATCTGTCCTGTAAGGTATGGATTGGCCTAGGCTGATTTATACCCTGGAGTATAAACTGGCCTAGGCCATAATATACCCAGGGTATATTCTAGCCTAGTCCGCTTTAATCCTGGGTAGAGTTTGGTCTTGGGTATACTATGGCCTGTTACACCGGGTCTTGACTTGATATTGCTGAAATATTGCTGAAAGCAGCATTTACCATGCTCACTCAGTTTGGAGTGAATAGCTACTCTACCAAAACTGAAGGGAGAAGAAGGTCTGCGGTTTGATACTTGTGTAATTCCAAAAGAAATCGGGGTGGTAGGGTAGCCTAGTGGTTAAAGCGCTTGCTCATCACACTGAAAACCTGGGCTTGATCCCCCACATGGGTACATGTGTGAAGCCCATTTCTGTTTTTACCCCCTGTGGTATTGCCAGAACATTGCTAAAAGCAGCGTAAAACCATACTCACTCAGTCACCCAAAAGAAGTTAAGAGCTCTTGTTACCCCACCTTGTGCACGGAATTAAAGACAGTAAAAAAAGAACTGGCTACTTCTAGCTCAGTCAGCTACAGGGTATGAGTGGGGTGGCTGATAAAATAGTCAAATAAATAGGTCGTGAGTGAGTTTAGTTTTACGCCGCTTTTAGCAATACTCCAGCAACATCACGGCGGGGAACACCAGAAATGCTCCACACATTTTGCCCATGTGGGGAATCGAATCCGGGACTTCGGCGTGATAAGTAAACGCCTTAACCACTAGGCTAACCCATCGCCCTAAATAGGCCTGGATAGTACGAGTAGCCACACACATCCACTAACATACACATATTAGGTAGATACACATGGTTACACATACTTACACTGAATATTCAGCTTCCTACAAGATTACAGTGTGTCACTTGTGTTCAGGTGTTGTGTATCGACGAGGCCACAGCAAGTGTGGACAGTGACACGGACTGCCTGATCCAGGAGACACTGAAGACAGAGTTCAAAGACAGCACCGTCCTCACCATCGCCCATAGGATCAACACCATCCTGGACAGCGACCGAGTCCTCGTCATGGCTGAGGGCAAGGTAGCAGAGTTTGCACCTCCAGGGGCTCTTCTCCAGAACACAAAGTCTCTGTTCTACCAACTGGTTCATGGCCGACAGTGAGAAAATAAACATGGTTGGAAAGCAGTGGAACAAACACCCTTAACCTTGTTGTAGACTGGTATGTTGACTGCAGAACAAACTGAGGTGGTGGCCAATAACAAACTATTTACAACCCATGGATATGTGTATAAGGTTATAAAATTCATAATTTTATTGTAGTTGTAGGTTAAGTTCTGTAAGAATGATCATAGTATTTGTTCTTTGTGTTTTTGGGTGTTTTTTAGGGCATTGCTCAATGTGGAATAGACATATATTAACCTAAACTATGTATCTATTGAAAGGTCTCTTTGCATAAATGCTGTACATGATTCTTTGAAGTTTGAAAACCATGGATATTGTAATTTTGCTCACACCTTGTATCAACCACAAGATTTGACTGTCTCTAATATGTTTTCACTGATTCTACTGAACAATTAGAAATGTTAGCTCACCTGGTCAGAAGGAATTAGCTTGTTTGCTCCAAACTGCATGAGTTTCAATGTTTATTAGGTCATCCTGTTTGATGATGGTTCACAACTGGACATTTTGATGGCTATAAAGCAGCCATCTTTGATTTAAGAAAAAGATCTTTTCTTCTCATAACCTGAGATAACTTACAAAAATCTTTATGCACATGATTACAAACATATTAGTTTGATTGGAAAATTGAAAACAAACATATTATTCTTGAAGCTATAGGCTCGACAAAACATTGCCTGTGGTATTTCCCAAATTTATCTTTGGACTACTAGTATGCAAATCAACATAATATAAAATGAAATATTGATATGAACCATTTGAGCTTTCATTCATACAGATACAAACATCACCTGATGAGCTTTAGTAAACTTGTAAGTCTGTATGCTCTGGAAACTGAGTGTTTACTTATGTGACTAAGGTCAGGGGACATTGTATCAATGTTATTTCTTAGAAGTAGAAACCCAACTGCATTAAAGAAAGCTTGAATATATCTTTCTATACTGTGATCAAGCACTTATTATGTGTTTGTGTATGTCACTGAAATGTATATTAATGAAGATTGGAAATGATTCCAAGTGCCAATGTTGCACTGGTTCAATGTTGAAGGTGAGCTACATGCTCTCATCACCAAAAATTGCACCAGAGGTTATAATTTGCCAGTATTTTATGCTGAACATCGCAACATTTTACATCAAGCGTGTCGGTTTCAGGTATTACCTGCCATGTGTGTAAGAGGCGACAAAGGGAATCAGAGGGGTCAGGCTACATGTCATTGTATCCCAATTGTGTAGATCAATTCTCATGCTATTGATCACTGGATTGTCTTGTCCTGAAATCGATTATTTACAGACTGCCGCCATATAGCTGGAATATTGCTAAGTGCGATGGAAAACTAAATTCGCTCACTCACTCACTCACTCACTAACTCACTCACTCACTCACTCACTTTGTTAGGCATTCGAATGTACATACTTTTTCTTTCTATTAAAAAGAAATACAAGAAAAATAAAAATGTTAACTCATTTTGGTAATTTTGGTAAAATTTGAGTGGCATTTTACAACAAACACACATACTAGAAAATGACTGCACAAAACATGCATACAATGATGGAAGGGCAAGAGAATTTAGGAGATGGTTTTGCTCAGGTGATAATCTACTGGTAATAAGTTATTATCTGGCATAATAGCTGAATGCTAGTTAATGTGTAATTTAATATTTCACATGCTTTGTAAATATTTTGTTTCATTGTCTATCACTACAACATCAATCCTCATAGAATCATTGCTCACTATAACTGTTGTGTCAGTTCGTAATCTCTATGCAGACATCTGTCACATAACAGTGTGCAACTTATGCTACTTCAGAAGCCTGCATCTATATAAATGGTGTCATATATTAATAATGTTGAAATTAAAATCTGCAGAAATTTGTGCCAAGGGGCTATTTCAGACCCAAATGTCAACTCCAATGTCTTTAGCACAGTCTGAGATTATGATTTATCTGTGTTACACACTCTTCCAGTCAGGTGAGATGGTATATGATAATCTACATCTCATTAGTTAAATGGACTATTTTGTATTTGAAATATATTGTCAGACAGATAGAATCATCAGATGTCTATCATGCTTATAAGGGTAAATTTGTTTTAGCCTTAAAAAGGTCCTAATTGCCAGTGATTTGCCACAAAAGGACCTACATTTAGCAAAACTTATGATCTTTTACAGGAAACTAATACACAATAAAAATATGATTTTCATATATTTGAATATGAATTTTTTCTCTGAACAATGACCAACCTTCACATGCATTGGTCCAAAACAGTCAACACCCAACAATTAGGAAAGAGGTTTTTTTAAAAGTCCCAGATTTACTGGTTTCAAGTCTGACATCATCTGTGTTTCGAGTCTTGAGTATCTGTTTGACATTGGCACACTGATGGAGTGGAATCATCTCATGCTCATACATTTCACGAAAGTAGTACACATCTGAGATACACATAACCTTCCTCCTACATGAAGCAGATATGCAGAGAAGTAACTGAAATGCTGTTTAAAATGGTAATAAATCTGACTAACTCACTCATGTTAACTATAGTATGGCATGCAGTACACAGATATGTACTTTTGATTCTCTTTAAATTGCAGTCTGTTCATGTTTTTGTGTACTTAAACTCCCTGAATGTGTAAAACAGATAAATGACTGTCAAACTAAGTAGCCATTTGTTTTGGCGCTTTATTTGTACTCTATTAGCACAAACTGCAAGAGCGTGTATCAGTGTAAGTGTGTGTCTATATATAGTTCATCATGTAGTACTGTACATAGGTAGTACAGTTTGTAGTATACACCTGAAAACTAGTTATAGAACATGGCAGATTAACTAAAGTCATGAAAAATGTGGTGTTCTTCAACTTTCCCATTGTTTGACAGATAAATTGTTCTATTAATGCACTTTTGTAGGGCTGTTGACTATAAAAGACTAAACACATCTGTGAGGGATATGTAGGGCTTCTGTGTGATTCAGTGATCTCAGCTGTAGCATGTGAAAACAGGCTTAAACCTATGTCAATACTTTGTAATCAGCAGAACATGTTATTGTTTTTTTTACCCATCTACAAAATACTTATGAATAGGATATATCATCGTGGGCTTTCATAATATTGTGTGTTTATATGGTCATGCTTAAAGTGGACAATTTAATGTTTGATGTGCACTTACAGCATTTACAAGGAATGTTTACCATGTATTGTTTTAGCTGTTTGATGTTCAGGTTGTATCTGTTCAACAATACATCATCCCATGCTGAACTGAGATTGTCTCAATGTTATTTTATATACGTATGTTTATGTCTGTTTTGTTGTTATTTTGTTTGAAATGATAAATAAGAGAAATTATTACCACAAATTCTTTGAACAGCATTCTGAAGATGTCACCTTTTATTATTACCACATTCAGTTGACAGGTCATGTAGAATATTCAGGCAACTTTGAAATCAGTGATTCAACTTCAATCTTGTTGGAATTTTACAATAAATCATAGTGGTTCAAAATTCCCCATTAAAGGTACTCTGATTTCACAAAACCGTACTTGCAACATTTTGTCTTGCTTACGTTGTTTATGTATTAAGATATGTGTAGGTTACCATGGTAACTCTATGTTCATGATGTATGTAATACACCCGTCACCAGTCTGATGCCCGTCTGCGTAATGTCTTTTATCAGATATGGCGTCTTATTTTCAAAGCAAATGACAAATAAACAACACCAATATCTTTGCTATGTGTGTCCTTGTTATGTTTGTTTGGCGTTGAAGTCTGAAGTACAGGGTTTGCTCATATAGGTCTCAGTGGTCATGATTGGATACAATAACCCTATGGAGATCTGGTGTTAGGAATGGCCTCCAGCAACAAGTGGTCTAGTGGATAGAGTCTACCCAAGGAGCAATTGGTTAGTGGTTCGAACAACTGGATTAGTCATACCAAAACATGATTCCCTGTCTGGCTGACCCGTGAAGGTCCGGGTAAGAATGAATCTTCAGTAACCCATGTTGTTGTAAGAGGCAACTAATGGGATCGGGTGGACAGGCTCACTGACTTGGTTGACACATGTCATCATATCCCAATTGCGCAGATCAATGTTCATGCTGTTGATCACTGGATTGTCTGGTCCTGAAAGGATTATATACAGACCGCCGCCATATAGTTGGAATATTGCTGAGTGCGGCGTAAGACTCACTCCTCCAGTTCACAAGAAGAATATATTTATATGATCGCAGCAATGGCTGTAACTTACAAACAGCACTCCTTCCCATTGCTCACTGGGCACATCGTTGATGTACTGGTCAGCTCTTTCCACACTGACCAGCTGTTTCTCAGTCTCAGTGAAGGACATGACCACGCCCCCCAGCAGGTTGGTTATTGACAGAGAGTATGAGATGGCTAGACCCACTAAACCTAACTGCAGCGTGGTATCTCATTGGACTCACTCTGTAAAACTGTCTCATCCAGATTAAGATAAGCATCCACTCATGAATCTGTGCAGCTATGTAAGAGCCATTATCTAACACAAGGTTAAAGCCCATTTCACCTCAGGTCCAGTGGATTCAGAGATGCTAAGTGTTGCCATCATGATCTGACAGTGGGGGCATCTCACATATCAATCCAGACTTGATTATTAATAGAATCTCATGAAATATGTTGCTTACTTAGGAGCAAACAACAAACAAAAACATGAAAAACACCTAACAGCATGAAAAGGAATTAACTTGTACTCACCCTAATGACTTCTCATCTTACCTTCAGCAAGTTACATTTTACCATTGGTTTGATACTATATAACATCCTCATATGTGTACTGATCAGTCAGTGAAGGACTAGAAAAAAGCCACAGTCCACAATGTTCCAGTTACATACTCTTCAAAAAACAGTAGGGGAAATTGGGAGATATATCAGAGTCAATCAATGTTGATATAATAATAAAGAATGTATTGAGAGTGCATCACCACTTGTACATCCTTATGGCCATCGTTGTTTGTACAGTAATCACTCTTGAAAGATGATTGGTGTTGGACGTGAAATTTGCATGTGTACGATTTTCATTTTCAAACCAAAAACAACGGCTGGAAACAAACACTAACAACTGTGTGATGCAAGAAGATTGACAAAATTAATGGTCTATAGTCATTTATTGACCGTCAAAATCAAGAATGACACCCCATGCACGTGTATTGGGCTAATGCGTTGCGCATGTGTATGCAATGCGTTGTGTTTAGTGGTGGTGATAAAGAGAAATGGTGGTGGTGTTCATAAGATGTCTGTCATTGAAAAGTTTGTTAAGGCTTATACTTCCTGTCCAGATTGAAAGTTCAGTTTCCCCTACATTTTTTAAGAGTATATAATACCAGCCAGTAAATAATGGCATCAGGACCAGGTAAATCAGTTTTGTATGAGTGAGTTTGGTTTTACAACTCCTTAAGCAGAATTCTAGCAGTCTTACAAATTTAACACCAAGAATCGTCTACACACATTGTAATTAGGAATCGAAGTAAGGTATTCGTTATGACTGGTGACTCGACCACACAGGGCCTTTTTGTAAAGCATACCAAGTTTATTTTTTATCTACTGTGTTGTTTAGCTTATGAAGCGTAGGTTTAAGTACACAATCCCTGTTTCAGAGTACACCCTAAATATATAAAAAAAGTCCTTCAGATTAATCGCAGGGGCCATATATTGTACCCTGTAAGGAGATATGTGCATATGCATAGAAGATGAATTTCAGCCTGGTTTGTTCATGCATACTTAAAAGTTAAACAGGGCATATTTTATCTATACTACATAATACAGAATATACCTTTCAAGCAATTCAAATTCAAATATCAAATTGCAGCTAAACCTCTTAGTTCTTCCTCATCAGCATAAATGAATTAACCCGGTCTAGTGGGCCTGTTGTGTAGGAAATACGTGGGTTTGTACTCGGGATTTCCCCCCACTCTAGAATAATACAGCATTTAATAGAAGCTTGTTATTTGACCTAATTGGTATGGTGAGTGAGTGAGTATGGTTGACGCCTTTAGATATGTTTCATCAATATTAAGGCGGGGGACACCAGCATTTTACACATTGTACCCAAATTGATGTGGAGGTATTTTGTATAAATATTGACAGCTGACAAAGAGTTGGTTGATTGCATATATTAAGTATATGAAGATCTCCGTAGAAGGTATCCTATGGTTCCCATCCTTAGTACCAGGGAGAATAGAAGACTATCCCTGTTAGTACTAATGATATAATTTGAATAACGAAAAATACCAAATCAAGCTTTAGTCAAATTTTACCATCTCCAGTA